TCTATTCTGTCTGATACTAATGTAGCCATTCCAGCTCTTGTGGTTACTATTTATGTAGCATATCTTTTCCCATTATTTTATTTTTACTCTAATTGTGGCTTTGAATTTGAAATGTGTCTCTTATAAATAGCCTATAGTTGGATCTTGCTTTTGTATCCAGTCTGATAATCTTTGTCTTTTGATTGGAGTTTTTAGTTCATTCACACGTAAAGGGTTTATGTATGCCATTATTCTGTGTGTGTGTGTGTCTCCCTCTGGTTCTCCTTTACTGCCTTCTTCTGTATTAAAAATATTTTCAGTGTTCCATTTTAACTTTTGTCTTGATTTTTCAACTTTATTTATTTTTTAGTTATTTCTATAGTGGTTGCTCTAAGGATTGCCATGTAAATCTTAATTTATCACAGCCTACTTCAGGGTAATGTTGATTTGATTATGGTAAAACACGGCAACTTTGCTTGCATTCCCCTCTCCTTCGATCTATTATCATCAGATGTATCTCATCCATATGTTATAAATCCAAAAATGCAGTGTTATAATTATTGCTATAAATGATTATATGTCATTTAAAGGAATTAAGAAAAGAGAAAAATATATTCATACACTGTTTCTGCTTACCTACTTACTCACCATATCTGGTGCTCTTCATTTCTTCCTGTTGATTTGAGTTGCCATGTGATGACATTTTATTTCATCCTGAAGAACTTTCTTTAGTATTTCTTGGAAGGCAAGTCTGCTAGCAGTTAATTCTCTCAGTCTTTGCTTACCTGGGAATGTCTTTATTTCAACTTCACTTTCGAAGGATTTTTCCGCATATAGAATTCTTGGTTGATAGTTTTTTCCTTTTAGCAATTTGGACATGTCATTCCAAAATCTTCTACCTCCAATGTTTCTGAGAAGTCAGTTGTTTTTCCACTGTGTACTTTTGGCTTATTCCTACCACTAGTACCCACGAATCATCCAACACAGGCCACCACCTAGTCCAATCTACGGCATGTTTCTCTGGTACCAACAATTTTGTAGGTAGAATTTGTTAAGGCCCAGAGTATAGGCTATCATTTTTGTATCTGGGTATGGCAACAATGTACATGACAATCAATAAATTCAGTTACTGCCTCTTCTGGTTTCCATGGCATTCTGTGCATTGCTTGTGTGCTGTCTGTGTTGGTGGGGGGAGGGTGCGTGCAGAAAAAGCGTTGGGCATAAGAAGTATACACTTGTCTCCCAGCTTCAGTGCCTGCCTGGGTGGAACCTGGGCTTCCCTGAGTGCCAGGTGGACATCTATGGGGCAGGTCCGTCCTCCGTGGGGACTAGGAGCAGGACAGGACCTCCTCAGCCCCCAGCATCATCTTGAGATACGGGCCAGTCAGGAGGCCACAGTGGAAGGGGCATAGACCGCAGGCTGGTGGTCCTGGCCTGCAGAGGCCAGGAGATGACAGCTACTCTAAGTGCCCAGGGTCAGTTTAAAAAAAAGCTGAGGTGATCAAGAACCTCTCAGTCTTGGGCAGGATGCTGGAGCCTTGCTTTGCAACAGTGTGATGCCACCCCAGGGGTCACTCTGGAAACCTGGGAGTTTTCTGGTCATCACGATAGCAGCCTGCTCCTGGAATGCAGACATCAACTGTGCAAAGATGTGTCACATGTTCCACGTGGCTTCCAGCATCTTATCCAACATTCACATAGAAATGAAAAATGTTTACCATCATTTGAGCCTGAAACCTAACTCTACTTTGCACAAAGTTATTTTGCACAGTTTTAACACACATTGTATTTTTCAGGAATGCAACTAAATTGAGGGAAGAGCGTACTTTTTGTTAGGAAACTTACCAACAAAAATCACATCTCCAGCAGCTGTCACAGGATGAGTGGCCCATTCAGCCCCTCACCTGTCGCTGTGCATGTAGAGCCGTCCCATTCACAGTGACCCTCTCACAGGCACAAGCATCTAATCCCACTGTCATCACATGGTAGATGGCATCATTTTTTTTAGCATGATAAAAGTTTTAAAAAGAGGATTCTGGGACTGATTGGCTTGAGCTCAAAGTGCCAGAAAAGGTGAAGCACAGAGGTCATTGACCATTTAAACTGTGACCCAGTCTGAACCCAAACCAAGGCCTTGAACTGAACATTCTCAAGCACTGATACAGTCGTCTGGGTTGTTGTCCAAACACTGAGAGAAACTGGCTCCAGCCCTGAGCCAAATTTCTTAAACTCCCTGACCCCCGTGTGCGGACACACCTGGGTGGAACACGCCTTTCCACACCCCTTTTCTTTCTGCCCATTGCGAGGATGGCTGCAGCACTGTGTGCCTACGTTCCCCTAATTAAGGCTTTGGACCGATCACTTTGGCCTTTAGTGCTTTTTGTGGGGGGGAATCCCAACCAGCCCCACACTGGGACAGTCCTTTGTGGGAACTGCAGCATGGGTTTGGTGGGACGAAACAGAAGGCCAAGGGGTCCCTGGTGCCCTAAGTGTGCCCAAGTTGGTCTGCAGCTTCCCCAGCACTAGGGGCCCTGGGACAGTGCTGGAGCAGGCCAGCAGCCAGGCAGGAGGCCGGACTGGAGGGGAAGGGAGGTGCCCCAGGTAGCAGCCACCGCAGTGCCATCACAGCAGGAAATGGTGGAAGCACTGCACAGAGCACCAGCACGCTTGGGGCCCAAAAGGTGGACCGTTCAGCTTCTAAGGAGATGAGGCCCGTGCACCAGTCCCACGGTCACGGATGTGTTGCAATACACACACCAAGATCTGGCTGAAGGACAAGGACAGAAGGATAAAGAGCCCAGTGCCCGTGAGAAGGGTTTTCCAGATCCAGGATGTGGTCTGAGAGTGGGCTGGAGATGAAGGCGCGGGCGGTGGACGGAGAAAGCATTAAAGGCACAGAGGTTTCACCAGCGACACCATCCAAGCCTCTTCCATGTGCCTTTCTTTTTCTTGAAATTAATGGGTTCTTCAGCTTTAAAATGAAGGTCTGCTCGACACAATTTCCAGATGTCAGCCTCGAAAGTGCTGAAACCTGGAGAGACTGCACCTTGCTAAAAATGACAAAACCGATTCTTGGTAGCTAGAATGTCGGAGCTCAGACTCAGAACTCTCTCCGCTGTACGTGAGCTTGCCTAAATCAGTGCTTTTGAAACTGCAGGCTGCTGCCACTTGTGGGCCGTGCAATGAATTCTGTGGGCATGCCCAGGGTTTTACTGAAGCAGAAGAGACTAAAATCAAAAAATATCAGTGTATGTCCTTATGTAGCGAGGGCGATTATCACTTCACAAAATTTATTTCCATTACACACACAGAGCCTGGTTCTCACACCCGATGAGCAGTAAGAAGCCATGGCACAGGCAGCATCGCTGATAACAGAGGACCAAAGCTTAGGGGAAAGTTTCTTCGTTTTGTTAGTTCTTGCTTCAGTTCTGAGAACTCCCTTCCCGGGCCGTCGGTGCAGGAGCGTCTCCCTGCATAGCCTCTTGCGTGCCGTCCCCCTAGGAGCGCTCTGCATGCAGCCTGGCGGAATCTCGCCCCAGGTGGGGAGACAAGTCCTAAAGGACTGCCAGTCTCCACTGGCAAAGAGCAGGGCCCCTGGCACAGCCTCCGCCAGAACACCTCCATCTGTGTGTCTTCAAACTGCACCTCTTCCAAGTTGTCTTCTGCGACCAGCCCGACGGAGGCGTCACGTCCACCGTTCTCTGCCCTGGTCGTCTTTATCTCACCACTGCCTGCCATTAGATGGGCTGTCTCCCTGACTAGAAGGCACGTGCCAAGAGGGCAACTCCTAGACCAGTGGCTGGCATGTAAGAGGAGCCCAGGAAGTATTTGCTATTGCATGAGCAAAGGAGTTAGGAGGAAAGAGGCTGAGTATCAAAAGCAAAACTCAGCCCCCCGCTTTCCCCCTAGACGAAGCACAATGTACCGCCATCTATTCTTGCGGTTTCCAAAGCACCCTAGCCCACCCACAATCAAAAACTAGCGAAACATAAGGAGTTTAGGATCTTCAGACGTGAAAGCAGGTGGACTCTCACGAGCGGGCAGAGAGGTTTCTTTGAGACAGAAGCCCATTCACAAGGAGCTGGGCTGGGCGCCATGGCGCTCCTGCGGCCTGTGCATTCAGGCCACGTGTCCTGTAATCCTTGCACGTCTGTGAGCCCACCAGGAAAATGAAACGGTTCTAAAGCAAATGTCTAACTTGACATGAGAACTTAGCACGTGTCGGATTTTACACAGGCTGTGTAATACAGAAAGGAGACGTGAGCTTATGTTTCCAGGCTTACTCTGTGCTGTGATCGGGATGAATCACCACGCACAGAAACCCAAGTACAAGGAGAGAGCAGCTAATAGCACAAGGCAACGCGAGCAGAGTGCTCCACCCGTTCCAGGCAGAAGGCAGGAAGAGGTGACAGAGGTAGAAACAAAGAGCCCATTGACGTATTACCCTCCTCAATGCTGTCCTGTCCCACGGAGTGCCTGCAGACTGACCTCCTGACCCCGGCACCTGCTGAGGAGGGAGGGAGGGAACGTGGAGCCCCCTGCCCATCGGAAATGGGAAGGATTCACATCGGTGAACACGATCTCCCTTTGCTGTAGAAACTGCAGAGGATGCGCTGTCCTGGCAAAAGCAGCCCAGTGCATAGGAGCGCTGTGACAGCAGACGGCAGAGCAGGCCGAGTGCACACTAGGGGTGTGCGTAACCGAGAAGGGTGTCTCTAAACCCCCACGTCCATTCGATGTTCCCTACTGGTCTGCATTTATTACTAACTTCCTCAAGGCAGGATTAGGGTCAGGCCTTCGAGCACGTGTTGGTCAAATAAACTGCAAGAGGTTTTGCACTCTCAGGGAGAAGGCCCATGTGCCTGGTGAGGGCACCTTAACAGGAAGCACTGCCTACCCCTCATCCTGGCGACAGGTGACACCTCAAAAGAGGAGCTGACAAAAAATCCTCAACTGCTTACTGTGTGTGTTATTCCCTTAGGAAACACCCATCAGACTGGAGGAAGAGGAGACACGGTAAATAAATTCAGATGTTTTATTCTGTAAAGCACATATGCACATTTTCAAACACAGAAAATTAATCTGGGAGTGAATGCCATAACAGATCAGCTACTGACCATCATGCAGCAAGAAAGTGAAATGGATCCACTGGCCCTCGTAACCCCACAGTGCCTGCAGGAGGGTTGAAAAACCAGGATACTGAACCCCTACGCACTGCCAAAGAAAATGCAAAAGAAATGGCAGGTTCCTAACGATGAGAGAAACTTACAAATAGAATCAAAACTGATTCAAGTCATACAGTGAAAGGACAAAAGGAAAAAGGAAAGAGATCAATATGATCTGAAACAACCATTTTAATAGTAAGTTGCTGACCTTTTATTGGACCTCTAGTCCAAGATGCCTGAGGACGAGCCAGTGCTCCTGCGCGGGGCCACCCCGAATGGCAAACGGGCCCATCTGTGACACTCTTCTAATCCTGAGGTCCACCAGCAAGCTATAGGTGAGGATCAGGTCCCCTGGACTTCCTGAGATTCAGCGGAAGTCTCTCCAAGTAACAGGCCTCTTCGCCCAGGTCCCATGGCCGCCTCTCTTCCCCAGCCTTCCTTCATACACCTGATTGACTCTGTGTTTCTAAAAGATCTCTGAGAATTACCTGCTAGGTGAATGTTGGATTTTAAAGTGTGTGTTGTGTGTCCTGGCCTCGGGACAAGTCATATTGTCCAGGTATTTTTGGCACTTCCTTTCCTCATGCCTAACAGTGTCCCTCTTCCCCTGGCTACAGATTCCAGCCATTGCCTGTAATTAAAACTAGGGTGATTAATATTAGCAACAAGCTGGATTGAGCAAACCAGTGAAACTGACTTTTTTCACTTCTCTTTGTTCATTTTATATTACTCTGCCAGTTATAAATCTATCCGTATAGCTCCACTTGAGATTTGATTAATTCAGTAGCAGCTTAATCTATAATCTGATGGTCCTAATGACACTGATGTTTCTAAAGGCCAAGCCAAATGGCTCTTTCTCAACCTTGTCTCATAAGGGTCTCCAAGTCTCTAAAGAGAAAACTAAATTAACAAGAGAGCCATGCATCATGTAAGCAACTCATATCACAAAAAAAAAACTGGATAGACAGGTATGATTACTGTACTTGAAATATACTAAAAGGAATACAAACATATCAAGTTACTACAGTGATTACTTTAACAAGCGTCAGTAAAAGCCCACAGTTGTTCTCCATTCAAGAATGCCTGGGATAAAATGTTCTAGGCCAATGTATTTCAGACTGTAGTAACTAATTCTAATTTAGAACAGACTACAAACCTCAAGTTAAGGAAAAGAAGTGCTCATAGGCATGTCCAAGGTTTTAATTGCCCTTCTGCTGTAACACTGCCTGGGAAAAGTCATTAATGACAATAACTTATTAAGGCAAAAAGTTATTAAGAAAAACAGTAAGAATACTAGTAACAAGAAAACATTGGGGAAGACAATGCACAATTTCTTTAAAATGATGGATTATAAGGAAAAAGGGGCAGAGGAACTGGATGATCAAAATGTTGTAAGAAAAATGCTTTTGGTTTTCCCTAAAAAATGGCCAATCGGAATTGCATTTCTTCAAATTTCACAGGCATCATTTTCATGATGTTATTGATCTATTAGTTGCCATTTTCCTTCTGAAGATATGTTAGTTGCATAAACATAAATCCAAAAAGAAGAAAATACACTCACTCTTTAAAAAAACCAAGAAATCCTTTCATGACTATTAGACCAAATCATTCTCTCTTTCCATACGGTCATCTGCATTCCCAAAAGTAGAAGAACAGCTGATTGTTACTCTACTCTAGAGCCATTCACTTCATTTTCAAGCCCCTTTGAGTGAGGGAACTGCTTTAACTTTTATGAGAGAGGCAAGGGGGCAACAGAGGACAAAGACAGTAGAACATTTTGTGCCAACTCGAACAAGACCAGGTTCCTTGCATCCATGTGGAAAATGAAACTTAGATCTTTACCATGTAGGTGACTTTTAAATATTTTACTTTTTACTGAGGATAAAAGCACAAGTCTGTCCTAACTAGAGTAGTATTAAAATGTGACTATTTTATTTTTTCTTCAAAAAGAAAAAAAAAAACAACTTAGGTATGTTTCCTTGCAAGCAAAATGGAGAAAAAGGTATTATTGTTGTTACTATGATTATTAAGCCACAGACACATAAAATCCACAAAATGGATTGGTGGCTTTGGAAATGCAATATCATATCAAAGGTGCAGACTGTTTCAAACATTCTATACATATCAGGCTGAAACAAGAACCAAACCAAACCTCAACCCCACCAGCAATGAAACGCACCTGTGACCTTGGTAAAAACATCATGCCCTGCTTTAATGCAGCAAGATCCATGAATTCTCTCCAGCACTACATGGTCCACAAGTCCACAGGTGAGGCTGAAGGGTTCTGGCTGCACCCAGTGCAAAGCACGTGCATCATTGGACCAATTTCCGAATAGATTTTTATAAATATGTACAAATCAGTTACAGGCACTTGAAATGTCTTTGGCTGGAATAACCCAACATTGCAAGATAATGTATTCACAGAGTGTCCAGGCCCGGGCTGGGTTCAGCAGGCAATGATTATGGTTCTCTTAGTCTCTCTCAGAAAACAAGGAGCTGTGGGATTAGGCTTCAGCCAAAGCCACCTAGAAGAGGGCAAGACAGTATCCAGTCAAACAGGGAAATGCAGGTAATTCAACCCCAATGGCACCCATGAGAGGTTCTGGTCCCCACCCAAAGACCAAGGAGCGATACTGACTGCAAGCATCTATTAGGCAAGGGAGTTATTAAATTCCTATGAAAAAAAAATCTCACCTAGGAAGAAATGAATAGAGACCTAAGTCTTCTGCAAGATGCAGTTGGTCTGGGCAACCACTGTGCTGAGATACGGAGTTAACTGTTTTTAAACCCTGATCAAACCAGACATGGTGACTCATGCCTGTAATCCCAGCACTTTTGAGAGGCCAAGGTGGAAGGATCACTTGAGGCCAGGAGTTTGAGACCAGCCTGGGCACCACAGCGAAACCCTATCTATATAGAAAAAATTTTTTTAAATTAGCTGGACATGGTGGCACATGCCTAGAGTCCTAACTATTCAGGAGGCTAAGGAGTTGAGCCCAGGAGTTTGAGGCTGCAGTGAGCTATGATTATACCACTACACTCTGGCCAGGGTGACAGACCTTGTCTCAAAAAAAAAAATAAAATAAAATAAACCCTGATCAGCATTCTTTCTGCTGGATGCTTTCTCATGCTGATAGAGTAGAGGGGCAGTGGTACTCCTGTAGGTTCTGAGAACAACTGCTACAGTCAGTCCCTTTTAATAGCTAAGAAGGCTTGGATATATGACTGAAAATCCAACACTGTAACTCAGGCTGAGGGTAAAGACTACTTCTAATGAAAAGACAGAAACTACAGCTGGTCTTCCATATCTGCAGTTTCTGCATCTACGGATTCAACCAATCGTGGATTGAAAATACTCAAAAGAAAAAAGCCAATAAAAAATAACAATACAATTTAAAATAATACAAATAAAAGTATAGCATAACAAATATTTACATAGCATTTACACTGTACTAAGAGTATTATAAGAAATCTAGAGATGATTTAAAGTATATAAGAGGATATAAGTTATATGCAAAAATTATGCCATTTTATATAAGGGATTCGAGCATTATTGGATTTTGGTATCCTAGGGGGTCTTGAAACCAATCTCCTGCGCCACTGTAATTTCTCTGGAGGGAAGCTGCCACCCACAATAAATGGAGTAAGGACTAACTGGGACTTTCTGTATATAGGGACCTCTAGCAAAATGCTGGGCCAGACTCTGTCCACTGCTCACCTTCTCAGGACAAAATTCGGGATTGCTCTGACGCAGTTTGCTGGGTCTGCCTTTGATAACAGCATAGCAAAACATTGTTATCACCATCACGAAGAGGAAGTAACTGGTGTGCATGAGATGCAAGTTTATTAATGAACGGTCATCCTAAATAAAGAGGAGAAAAAAACCTGAAACAATATCTGCACTGAGTTGTTGAAAGATTTTAAAGCTTGGTTTTTGGAGACAGGATTCACAACCTCCAGACTTGCTTTAACTTTCAGTCTTAAACTCAAAGAGGAGGTTTCTCCTTTTGTCTCCTAAACTACCAAAGCTGGATCTCATTAAGTGAGGACACGGTGTTCCTAAGCTATCCCTGCGGAGACCACCCACTCCTTCCTAAAGCTGTCCGCCCTCCCACACTGCCCCAACCCTCCAGCCCACCCCAGGCATCTTTAACCCCCACTCTTTTCTGGACTTGTGTCTTCTTCCCCTGACTGCCCTCCAACAGCCCCGCAGGGTGCATGGCTGGCAGCCCCGCCTGCATTCCTAACTCCAGGCCACACGCCCAGCAGGAAGGCCTCAGCACAGCCGCCTCCCCAGGGCCAGCTTCCTTACTTCTGCTTGTCCCTACTTCTCAAGTCCCAGTCTGAAAATGCTGAGGTCATCCTGGATTTAACTCCTCTTTGACCTCCCACATGCAATCAATCCCCAGGCCCTGCCAGTCCTCTGAGAGCGCAGACACGCTTCCATTCCTGTTCCTTCTCCATCTCCAGTCCTCACGGTGCCAGCCTCTGGCCCCTCCCATCTAAACATCAAGGGGAGCCCAGTCTTCCTGACACACTGCTCCACCAACCCCTACAGCCCCAACACCAGCAGTGACTGCCTTGCCAAGGAGAAAGGCCAAATGCCTCAGCTGGCATGAAGGGCCCCTGGAACCTGGCCTCTGCCCGCCACCCAGCCTGATCTCCACTGCTCACTTCTTCCGGCCTCTAGCCTAACTGCCTCCACTTGGTAAAAATCAACTATGGAAAAGGGAAAAGGACCAGGCCCAAGGAAGAAAAATCCAACTAACACATCCTGACAGGAACAAACATAAGGGCATTTACAAAATACCACAGCAGTCTGTTAAAAGTGGGCTCGAGTCTAAGCAGGAGGCTGAGCCAGCATATCACCTGCTAGACTAGATAAGAGTTTTCTCCTTTCCTCTGTGTTAAGTTAAACCCTATTCAGGCCTCAGTATCTAGCCAAAGACTCATCTCCTTCTGCTACTCACTTCTACCTTTCTGAACTCCACACAGCACTGCTCATTGCTCATGCTGACACTAACCAATTACTCTTCCGTGGTTGGGTGCATCAGTCTAAGACTGAATAAGCATCTCTTATAACCCCCATGGGTTAGGTACACAGCAGTTGCTCAATAAATAACTGCTGCTGAACAAAACAGAAAACAAAGAAAAGAACATTTTTCTTAACCAAAAGAGTGGTGCGTTTTTCTAAGTTTCCACCACTCTGCCTAGTCTCCCAACCCAGCTGGAAATCTAGAGCGGCAGGGTCTGAGCTAATCCAAGGGAATAAACAGGGCCCACGCTAACAGTTCTAACACACACACGCATGCACACACACGTGCCCGCACGATCTGTCTCACTTACATCTGGAACGATAACCGTAAGCTTGGGATTTAAAGCATGATAGACTTTTCCAATGGCCCCTTTATAACACCAGAAAGGATTGTAATCTTGAGCGTATTTTGTGTTGGCATCTCTGGCAGTTGTGAAGATCTTGTACCAGAGCGTGGCGTTGCTGTATGTGTCAGGAACACAGTGCGGTGGCTGTCTGCAAGGGAAGAGAGGGAAGGACACGTGCTCAGTGGCCATTTTCCTGTGTCACCCTCACAGCACCTGGCACAACACTGAACATAGCAACACGTGTGGAAAGAAGAAATAACATGAGGTGTAAACATCTCTGACAATATGTTTCTTTGAGATAAACACCATTATATTTTTAGTTTAAGAGTCTTTAAAAAAAAAAACAACACACATAACAGTAGAAGAAATAGGCATCTGACATTTAGGAGTTTGAGTGTTAGATTTTTGCCTTCAGAATTCAAGCCACATCCTCTCACATATGATAAGGCCAAAGGGGACCCTGCTCCTTTTAAGCCTATACCCTCGAATTACCTGACTTTTTAGTTACAAATGGAAGCTTTACATACCAATGTCTGCATCAGGCATTATAACACCAAATAATGTTTAACTTATCTGTTCTTGTCCTACAACCCTCCAAATGTCCAAAAATAGATAAATCCCAGGATAATTCCTATTAAAACAGGGTTCACCACACAATTCTTTTAAATAGGCTATATCTTATGTATTTCACATATTTATGTATAGATCACTCTCCCTTTTACAGAGAAAGGAGAGAAAAGGAAAAAAAAACCCTAAAGGCAAAGCAGTAACATTGACTGCCGCTAAAAAGACTGAAGCAGAAGTTTCAGAAACAGTAATTATCTAATGGAAAATAAGGTTCAATTTATAGTCCTGATTTTAATACAAACTCTTTCTGGATAATGGAGATGAACAAAACCTTTATCTTTAGAGAAGCCTGATTATGGGTCGCTCTGGTTGTCGGATCAGCTGTTATTTATCCTTTCTGCGACCTGCTGCTTCTGTTCTACTCCTGTAAGAAAAGCAGCCCAAGAACACCCAACGGCAACCAGGTGTTTTTATTGCCTTGTTGAAGCACTAACTTTCTAAGATTTATATGCAGAAGTTCCAGCTTCAGAATTCCAAACTAAACTTAAATAATCCTTTAGAGAGGTCTGAGCAGTGATAATTCTACGAAGAAAGCCATCCTGAGAATTTGCTGCTAAAGCAGCCCAGCTATACTCATGGCAAACATAGCTTCTGGCGCACATCCCCTGGGTGCCGGAAACACTTACACGGTGACAGGGAACACACCGGGGGTGGCCGTGAGGGTCATACAGGCTGTGAACACCACCTGCTCACAGTGACCATGGAGAGCACAGTCATCCGAGCTCCAAGCTGTAGGCAGGGTAAAGGTAATGTTTATCTCCTCGTGGGCTTCTCGGCCTGTGAAAGAGAAATTGTTTTTTTTGGCAAATAAAATAATATTTATTGATTCTCTAGGATTTGCATAAATTCTGAAATCAAACCCACCCAGGAATCACCTACCAGCCCAGACAGCTGCCTTTGTGGGGTTTCAGGAACAAGAACAGCTCTGATCCGGACTGTGAGGCCTGCTCAACCAGCACAGCCACGAAGTGGCAGAGAGGGGCCGCTCTGCAGCCAGGGCCCGGCAGCTCCTAAGCTGGACAGCTTGGGCTGGGAGAATTAGCACCACTGTCGCAGCATTGGTACGGCACTCTTACCATGTTCAAACATCTGTTGTATGTATTACTTCACTTAAAATTTACCACCATGCCATGCATGACCAAAGATGTGTTACTGTTCCCTTTTACATGTGAATGCACTGAGGATCAGGAGGTCTAACAGACTTAAGATGGCACGGGTAAGTGATGAAGCTTAAACTAAAACCAAGGTGTTCTGAAGCCACAACAGAAGAAAAAGACCCACTTGCTACATGGAACACCCAGAAGTCACCCATATCTTGATTACCAAGGGAATACTGTCACCTCTAATAGGCAACAGAAGGCTGGCAGGCACTCACAAATTCCTTTAAGGACTTTATTTATTTATTTATTTGAGACAGGGTCCTGCTCTGTTGCCCAGCCTAGAGTATAGTGACATCAGCCTAGCTCACTGCAACCTCAAACTCCTGGGCTCAATCGATCCTCCAGCCTCAGCCTCGAGAGTAGCTGGGGCTACAGGCATGCGCCACCATGCCCGGCTAATTTTTTCTATATAGATTTTTAGTTGTCCAAATAATTTCTCTCTATTTTTAGTAGAGATGGGGTCTCGCTCTTCCTCAGGCTGGTCTCGAACTCCTGACCTTGAGCGATCCACCTGCCTCGGCCTCCCAGAGTGCTAGGATTACAGGCATGAGCCACCGCGCCCGGCTGAGACAGGGTTTTGCTATGTTGTCCAGGCTGGTCTCAAACTCCTGGCCTCCAGTGATTTTCCCACTTCAGTCTCCCAAAGTACTGGGATTACAAGCACTAACCACCATGCCCAGCTTGCCATTCATTTAGTACTGGTCTAAGGGCAGTGCTCCACGTTTTATGGGTGTTTATTTTTCATATTATTTAATAAGCACTTACATAACATTTTCTTTGTACCAGGAACTATTGTAAGTGCTTGATAAACATTAACTCACTGTCTCTTCCATAATCCGAAAATTCCAAAGGGAAGAGACCAAATTTTAGGCTTTTTCTAGTTCTTCCCGGCAGCTAACACAGTGCTGAGATAGTGACGAGCATTCAGAAATTTGTACACTAATAGCAATGTAATATTTGTAGTAAGTACTGAAAACTCCATTAGGCTAAGCCAGGATAAAAATTACATGTTTGTAAACATTAAGGCCAGAAACAGGCCTTAGAGTTTTTTCAGTTTCTTGCATTTCCAAGCTTTTATTGAGAGACTACTGCAAGCCAAGCACTTTACTAAGTGAAGATGTAGTAGAAATGATTCCTTCTTGACTTTGTGTGGTTCAAACTCAACGAAAGAAGACATACGTGCAAAAATGAAATATAGTATGATGAGTAAAATCATACATGGCTAATCCTCTGGCTGCCTTGTAATAATTGTTGCCTGAGAAGTCTGAAAAGAACACGGCTAATGCCCACATACCTGAGAGTCCAATCTGATGCCCTAATATGGTTGAGTACAGATGAGTGACGTTGCGAGAGTACCCTCCAAAGGGTTTCAGTGGATCCAGGGTTAGGGTGATTGCCACTGAGATGTTAACTGGGCCTGAATCCTCCAGGGCCTGGGGGGACTGTGTGGATGCTCTGGCCTGCCCGCTGGTCATTGTGCTTTCTGGAGTTGTGGTGTCATTCGTGAGATGCTTTAACGTTTCATTCTCTGATACACACAAGTCCAAATCATTAAATCGTAGCAGAAAAGTATTCCAATCCTTCAGTGAAGTGAAATAAAGAGAAACGAGTGTGAGCAGTCCCAAAGGCTCCCACTGCAGGAATGCAGTCGTGACCCTCAGCGTGGTGTCACATCACAACAGTAAACTATAATTCAGAGTCGGTCATTTAAAATAGTGACAACACAGCCACCATCCTCTTGCATTGGCAGAACAGTGTGACTTTCCTAATCATTTTCATATTCATAATCTAAAACATAAACTCTTCGTTGGCATGAGATTTTACATAAACTGTGAGAATAAACCCAGTTATTCAAGAAAATGGTTTTTTCTTTTAAAACCAAAATATTATAATTACAGGAAATGACCCAGCCTCAGAATCAAACTTGGAAAGTTTGAACGAAAGTAGTAAAACACTGAAAGCATTAATCCAAACTCATTTAGTTGTGACAATTAGTTTTTTCAATGAGGCTGCCTTAAAATAATTTCTCAAAAGACCAATTCCATACAGCTTGCTTTTTCTCTCAAGAATGCAAAACAGCAGTAAACACCAATACTCATTTGGTACTTTTTCTCCCTTGTTATGGACTTTTGATGCCACCTTAGAGCAGAAACAATTTCAAAATGAAGGGCACAGATGTTTTCAGCCTTCTTTTAATATCTACAGCCTGTACTGATGATTTAAATCATGAATGAATTCTAAAAACACATACAGCTCATTACAGATGCCAACATAGTAAAGGACCCACCAGGGTCTATTTTAATTTTAGCAGAAACCCAAAGGTGAACTCATGCTAAAGTACCAACAACAAACCTAACCTAGCCTGTTACATACAACTTCTTTTTCCCAAGCAACATTAGTTTAGAAAAAGTTGCCAAATGTGAAGCCAAACCAAGATACACTTCCAATTACTCTTAACGTTAAAACTGATTAAAAATGCCATTTAAGCAAGCCCCAAGCAGCCAAGTGAGTCCACCTTTACAGCATTACTATTAACTGTGACATTTAATAAGCCTGCAACTGGATCTATCAAATTACATTTTCCCTAACACCTGCAAACTTAGCAGACCAGTCCACTACATTAGGACCGAAAATCAACACTCTAGTCTTAGCCCACATATTCCAGAAACTGAGGCCAAGGGCAAATTAGGGACCCTCCAATTCTAGTTCAAGGTAGAATCAGCATTAAGTTCTGATTCCCAGCCCAAAACTTTTCTCATACACCGCTGCTTTTCGTATAACTCAGGATCCTCATTTGAAAATAAAATCAGTAAATTAATCATAACCAAAGGTCTGCAGCATCTCTGTGCTGTATTCCCGCAGAGCTGGAGTCCATGTTGAACAGCTGGCCAAAGCCGACACCAGGCCCATTTTGATTATTAAGGGCTAGTTATCCAGGCCACGTCTTTTTTTTATCAAGTTATTTTCTTTAACCATTTTTACAGCCTATGAATATCAGATATACAACACAGGCCAGGAAACAAAATATGGTTTTAATTACTACTTTTAACTTAAAAAACCAACCAAGAAAACAAATATTTTAGTAAGACTTGCTATACTGAACAATGTAAGATCTTTAAGTTTTACAAATATAGAAGTTTTAGAACACATCCTGTTTAAATATGTTAATTAGATCTTTCCAAAATACCTACATTCCAGAATAAAATTTACTGACCTAATATCACCTGACTGTAAACTCAACAGACCTTCAACACCAATCCTTTGAGCCTCAAACAATGACACAAAGTTGGAACATTTTTTAGAATTTTACATGACGATCAAGAAAAAAACAATCTAAATAGTCTCAAAACATTTTCCAACTTGAGTATAAACTTGAGTACATGTACTACTTTCAAAGAGTAAGACTGCTTTGAGATTCTGAGTTTTAATAACCATTTTATCTTAAAATAAATTACTATACAAAAATTAACAGTTTAGGGATGTTTACCCCTAGGCAAAAACTTTGCTATGGCAACATAATGTACACATAACCAGCTAGGTTGCAAAGAGTAGGACAAACGAAGAATGGGCCAGACCTCCAGGCTACATCTTAACCAGTGGCCTTGGTCAAGTGTTCAACACAGACTTGGGCTATTCAGGAAAGGAATTCCAGGATGCTGCAAAGCTATAGTAGTGACTAGAATGTTCATTTTCACCCCTAACGTGGGTGCAGCCTGTTTGTGCAACCTTTAAAGACTCAGGCAGGGTCAGAAAAGAGGGAGAATTATGCCGCCTAGTACATCCCTTGGTAAGAAACTCTTTGAAAGGGTTTCATGGTAAAAATAGCTAAAACTCGTTACTTTAACTGTTAGAGAGTTCATGTGTGAAGCTGTCCCTCCTGCCAAGATCACCTATGATCTAGAATGCCACAGAGCAGCAGTCCCTACCTTTTGGCACCACGGACCAGTTTCATGGAAGACAATTCTTCCACGGACTGGGAGGTGGCAGGGGATGGTTTCTGGATGATTCAAGCGCATTACATTTACTGTGCAGTCAAACTCTCTGCTAATGATAATCTGTATTTCCAGTCGCTCCCCAGCATTAGCATCACCGTCTCAGCTCCACCTCAGATCATCAGGCATTAGATTCTCATAAGGAGCGCGCAGCCTAGATCCCTCCATGCGCAGTTTACAGTACGGTTTGCCCACTATGAGAATCTAACGTCACTGCTGATCCAACAGGAGGCAGAGCTTATGCGGTGATGCGAGCAATGGGGAGTGGCTGTAAATACAGACGAAGCTTCTCTGGCTGGCCCAATATTGGTCCGAAGCCCAGGGGTTGGGCAGCCAGAGAACACAAGAGAAGCCATGATCCCAATTACACTGAATAGAGAACTCTCCTCTCACCATGGCAAGGCACATACAACGTAGCAACAACATGATCCCAATCCCCACCCCCCACCAACAAACAAACCCAAGAAGAAAAAAAGTGAAGGAGAAGGCACTCAAGAAATTTCTTAAGAACGAATTTGTCCTAAAAGAAACCTTATCAGTAAATTCATATCATTAATTCTGTATAATTCCTAATATGTAAAATAAACTTATGAATAGGTATATTACCATTCACCTCTATTAAACAAGAATGAGTTGTTTTCCAATATGCAAATTACACATCTTTTAAAATCTACATTATAAGTGTTCAAACTATACCTGATTTAAAGATTAAAGATCAATGCTCCAATAATTTATTTCAATTTCCTAAAATGTAAACTCTAGAAGGCAAGTTTAGATACCTGACGTTTTCCTTGATTAAAAACAACAAATATATTTGGAAATCGATCCTGCTTTTGAATTTCTTTAGGATCCCTTCTTATCCAATGAAAAAGTCATCAGTACAGCTGATAAAACTCCACGATAAGTGCCTTTAAATTTTCAAATGTTCAGTTTTCTAAAACTGCAATGAGCTAATTTAATACAAATATCAAAGAAGTGAGTTCTCTAGCTTCTTGACACAAATCATTTCATAAATATACTCTCCAAAATGCATCTGTTTCATTGCCAAAATAGTCTAACTGAAACTGGTAGCACTATTTAAACCAAACAGTATCTATTATATCTAACTAGGTATTTCCTAACAAAGCAAGGGAAGATGGAAAATTCTGAATAAATTCTGACCTAACTAGGTGAAAAAATTGACAATCAGAGAGAGCCACAAGGTTGTTTCCCCACTCAACAAGGTCCAGCCAGCCTGACAGGAGAAGTTAGAATATACTATACCTCTGCCATTTCTGGTGATTTAATCTCCTTGATTTTGAAGAAATAGCCCAAGGTCAAGAAAGCTATTGCCATGGCACTCACACTGATCATAAAGACCACCAGGGGAGGCCGACTGCTGATGTACACCTTCAGGTTCTCCAGGGGGTTGATGTTGAACATTATTCTGATGAGCTCCACCTAAAAGAAATTAATCAGAAGACTGGTTAACGGTGGACTGACTTACCAAAAGAAAAGCAATGATTCTCATTTTTGTCTCCTTTAGTAGTGTTGGCGAGTGACACTCCTTACTGAATTTGAGAAACGTCTGACCACAAATTCATTCAAAAGACTAGAAAAAAAATCCACTAAATGTTAACTGTCATTACCTCAAAATGGTAGGATCTCGAAAGATGTGTATTCTCTTTCAGTTTGAATCTCCTAAATATTCTATAATGAATATTGCTACTTGCACATTACTTAAGAAGATGTTTAAGCAGGTCAGTAATGTGACACAGATACATACCAACATGGACAGAAACAGAGGATGCTCTCATTTCCTACCATTGAAAAGGTGAGTTCTATTTACTCAACATTCTGTCCTGTTCACTGCCATATCGCTCATGGCCCAGCACCTGGCACAGAGAAGGTTCAATAAATACTGACCAAATGTTATATCACTCCTCGGCCTGAAACACTCCTGAAGCTTCCCACCAACCCTGGGATGAGAGCAGCAACATCTCCCCATCACAGCCCACAGGGTTTCATGACCCAGAGCCCTGCCAACCTCTCCAACTGCATTGCTGTCAACCCTCTCTCCTCCCTCACTGGGCTTTGGCCACACTGGCCTTGCTAGTCTCTAGGATTGGCCTGTCAATTTCTGCAAGGAAGTGAGCTGGGACTTTGACAGGGATACACCGAATCTGTGGGTCTGGGGAATACTGCCATTTTAACAATGTTGTCTTCTAGCCTGTGTACCTGGGATGCCTTTCCATTTATTTAGGTTTTAATTTATTTTAACAGTGTTTTCTGTTGTCAAAGGGTAAGTCTGCACTTCTTTTGCAAAGTTTATTCCTAAGTATTTTATTGTTGCAATTTTTGGACATGACCTATCTGCAGGCTTTTACCTCTGCCTGGGATGCTTTTCCTAAACATTTTTGCATGCTTGCTCTTCTGAAAACAGCCCCTCAGAGCAGGCCTTCTCGGACCACTCTCAGTCCCCGGTCTCTCAGCATCCCCCTTTACTTCTTTCAGACTCTTCAGCGTCAGTCAAGGGTACAATTATTTTTCTACTTGTTTATTATCTGCCATCCCTCATTAGTGAGCTCATGAGAGCAGAGATTTTGCCTGTCTTATTTATGGCTACAGCCGTGACCCCTGGCCCCTAGAACAGTACTTGGCACACAATGAGCACTTATAAATATGAACAGACTACAACATTAACAAAAAACAATTTTTTAAAAGTCTATACCAGCTTTTATATTTTAGAGACAAAAGGATGCATCAACAGCCCCTAAGAACAAACACCAACCACCTGCAATAAGCCAGGGGCTTTAACATGGAAAATAATATCTTTTATCCCCAGAGGCAAACCCAGTCTTTACACTGGCAAGTACCATTATCCATGTATGTTTTATGAACTTTTACTACACACATATATACAAACAGATACATTACTAACACTGTATTTGAAAATCTGGGGGAAATTATATATATATATATATGTATGTAGATAGATAGATATACATATATCCTTATGCTATTTTCACTCGACATTCTGTTTCCAAGATTTATCCGTTGATCTAGGTTGATCTAGTCCACTGAATTTAACTGTGTGTATATGTAATTGTTCCATGATCCCAGAGTTATCCCAGACTGAGAAGCCTAGCTCAGTTCTTCCCACTGTTTCACCCACAAAGGGCACTGCAACAGGTACAAGAGTGGCTTGTAGTACAAGGTCACAGAGTAGGGTCCATCTTCAACTTGACTTGGTATCGTCAGACCACTCACCCAGGAGATCGTGCCAGCTTACACGTCCCCCAGCCACGAAGGGCTTGCTCCATTTCCCAATATTCATGCCACCACCACCTGATATTCTAAGGCATACCGATTCAGGCCAACAAGATAGATGTGAAATGGTATCTATTATTTTAAACTGCACCTCCCTGAAACCGAGCATCTTTTCATTTTTTATCAGCCATTTAGGTTATTCTTAAGTGAATTATCTGAATCCTTTGGCCATTTCCTAGTAGGATGTTAGTCTATTTCTTATTAATAATATTTAGAAATTCTTTTTGGATACTGACCCTTTAGCAATTTTATGTTACATACAACTCCAAGTCTGTGGGTTTTCTTTAATAGAGTTTATGATATCTTTTGCCATATGAAAGGTTCTTGATATTTTTAACAGCTTTATTGAGATATAATTCACATACCATACAATTCATCCATTTAAAGTATACAAGTCAATGATTTTTAGTATATTCACAGACTTGACCAATAATCACTACAATTAATTTTCACGCGTTTCCATTATTCCATAAAGAAATTCCATACCCTTTAGCAGTAACTAATTTCCCTCAGCCCTAAGGCAACCACTAATGTACTTTCCCTGTCTGTATAGATTTGCCCATTCTGCACATTTCAAATAAATGCAATCATATATTAATAATATGTGGTCTTTTGTGACTGAGTTCTTTCATTGAGCATAATGTTTTCAAGGTTCATCCATGCTGTAAGCACACATATCAGTACTTCACTTCTTTTAATTTCCAAATATATTCCAATGTACAAAATATTTTATTTATTCATAAACATTTTGTTTATCCATTCATCAGCTGATGGACATTTGGGTTTCCACTTGGTCACTATTGTGAATAATCCTGCTATGAACATATGTGTACATTTTTATGCGGACATAGGTGTTCATTTCTCTTGGCTATATACCTATGAGTGGCATAGCTGGGTCATATGCTAACTGTATGTTTAACCTTTTGAGGAACTGTTAGACTGTTTTCCAAAGTACCTGAACCATTTTCCATTCCCACCAGCAGTGTATGAGTGTTCCAATTTCTCCACAACCTCACCAACACTTTTTTTTATAGCCATCGTAGTGGGCATGAGGTGGTATCTCATTAAGGTTTTAATTTGCATTTCCTTGACAGCTGGAAGTTCTTGATTTGAATGTATTTACATTTATCAACCTTTTCCTTTTATGACTGTGTATGTGGGAATTATTTAAGAATTCCTTCCCTATCCTTACACGTCAAAGATTTTTTACATTATTTTCTGTTACAAGTTTTTTAGTTTTACTTTTTACCTTTAGTCTCTCATCTACTTGGAATTGATCTGGGAAGTCTAGAAAAAGTCTAACCTTTTTCTATATGGGTGGCTAACTGTCCGATATCATTTATTGAATAGCTCATCCTTTCCCCATGGATTTGTAATGCCATTTCTCACACGCAGCAAGCTCCCATATATTGGTGGGCTTGTTTCTGGGCTTTTTCTTCTGTTCCATCGCTGTATCTGTCTCTCCCTACCTCAATACTAAGCTGTTTTAACCCTTGCCATCTACTACAAGTTGTCTACTATTTTATTGTTATTATTCAAAATTGTCTTACCTATTCTTGGCCCCTTAATCTCCCATATCAATTTTAGGTTGTAATTGTCAAGTTCCCAGAAAAATCTTGCTCGGATTTAAACTGGAATAACACCAAATATACTAATTTGGGTAAGTAATGACATCTTTACAACTTTGTGTTTCCTAATTTATGAATGTGGTATCCTTCTCCATTTATTTGGGTCTACGCTTCTTTTTCAATATTTTTTTAAAAATTTCTCTAGAAAGATCTTACACATTTTATTAGATTCAAAGGCATACTAATTTATGCAGCTATCATGGATGGTATCTTCTAAAACTATTTTCTATTGTTATTAGTTTATACAAAAGAAAGACTTTTGCAAACTCTTCTTGATTCCAGACACTTCACTGAAATATTTTAAATTCTAATTAGCCTGTTTGTAGCTTTGCTTGGATTTTCTGCATAGACAATCACATTGTTTGCAAACAGTAGGTGTATCTTCCTTTCCAATCCTTGTATCATTTTTCTCTTTTTTTTTACTACTTTGACTAGAACCTTCAATGAAATGATGATTAGAAGTAAAAACAATAGGAATTCTTGTCCCATTCCTGACTTTAAACGAGATGTTTTTAATGCTTCACTATTAAATATGGTATATATCATGTTTCTTTATTATTATTTAAAAAAAAAAAAAAGCCTACAGTACCCAGTATTCCCAGGCAGTCTCCCATCCAAGTACTAGCCAGGCCCGATATATTGTAACATTTCTGACAGAAACCCCTCGCTAGGTTAAAGAAGTACCTTTCTACTCCAAGTTTGCAAAGAGATTTTCATTATAAATGTTACAATTTTTCTCCTTCAATCTGTTAACATAAACTATGTGGAGTAATTTTTTTTAAGCTGATTCATACTCATACTCCTTAGATAAGCTTTATATGATCATGAGTTTTTAAAACTATGCTGCTGATATGTTTGCTACATTTTATTCTGAATTTTCACATCTATTCATAAATGAGATAAGAAAATTACAGGCCACTATCATACTCTCCATGAATGTATAGTCAGCTCTCTGTATCAGCATTTTCTGATTCAACCAACTACAAATTTAAAATATTTGAAAAATAATGACAATAAAAAATACAAATAAAAAATATAGTGTGACAACTATTTACATAGCACGTACACTGTATTAGATATTATAAGTAATCTATAGCTGATTTAAAGTATACAGGAGGATGCACGTAGATTATATGCAAATACTATGACACTTTACATGGGGGACTTGAGCATGCCCAGATTTTGGTACAGGGGCGTGTGTCCTGGAACCAGTCCCCCAGATAGGGACAGCTGCATATGTTCATTCCTTGACTAACATGACGAGGTCATATGAGTGTTGTAAAAATTAAATGAATTTGTTCATTCTTATCCACTTTCTAGAACAATATGAATAACGTGCACTTCTATTTCTTGGAAGTTTGATAGACCTTGGCCAGAAAACCATCTGGGTCTGTCAAGTTTTTCTTTGGTTTTATATTTTGGTGGGTTGTCTTCACTACTTATTCATGTTTTTTAACGGCTACAAGTATATAGTTTCTATTTCTATCGAGTCAATTTTGATAA